AACCTACTAGGGATAGCCTCCAAGCTAATAGCGATGGCCTCCAACCTGACAGCGATCGACTCCAACTAGGCCACTAGCGATGGCCTCCAACCTAACAGCAAAAGGAACCTAAGAGCGATGGCCTCCAACCTAGAAGCAATGGCCTCCAATTGATCACAGCAATGGCCATGGAAGGGAAAAAGAGGTCTCAGAGTCTGGTTTCTTCTTTTTCTGCCAGTCACTGGGGAATACGGAAGTGGCTTTTCTGGCGAAGTTGATGGATGGAAATTTCGTTGCCTGGGGTGATCCCGCCTCTGGTGCCGACTTCAGCGCCGTCCAAAGAAGTTTAGATTCTATCGGTGTCGAGGCTAGGGCACTGGCGGGCAAGTGATGGCAGTTGACCGGAGTAGTCAAAGCTTTTTCATTTCACTTGAGCAATATCTCAACGTGCAACATGTGAGGACAGTTTCGAAGTTGAGGAAGACATCGGGGTGAGACAGAGATGTTTTCAATGGTGCATTGCATCGAACCAAAAGTATCATCCCACAGGTCTAAAGAACGAAAGAAAGGACAACCCCAAAACAAAAGGAAACACAAGAATTGAAGAGTATATTAACACAAGAGCTTTATGCTCCCCAGGCCATTTGGAGCACAGACAGGGCCTTTCTGGCAAAGCTCTGTGACCAGACCTTCACTGCATGGGGAGAGAAATCTAGCGGCGCTGATATCTCAACAGTGAAGCCAAAGCTAGACTCCATTGGCGTTGAGGCACCGCCGCTGCTGGTAAAGTTTTTTTTTTATTTAAAACACTTTTTCAACACATCCATGCTCAATACTACGAATGCGCCTGAACTTTTCTGCTTCAAAGCTATGCTGTTGACAACGGACAGGCTATTTGGAGCACGAGTGGCGCTTTCCTTGCGAAGCTCCGAGACGGCTCCTTCCTGGCCTGGGGAGATAAATACCGTGGTGCAGATCTGACAACGGTCGCCCATGGCTCAGATTTAGTGGGAGCAGAGGCCGGGTGCTGGAAGGATTTTACAAGACGATTGGTTTCGCTGTGCTTTCAGTGTGTTTTGCAGGGTATTTGGAGCACAGACTATGCCTTCTTTGCCAAACTTCGCAATGGAAACTTCCGCGCCTGGGGTGATGGAACCTATGGCGCTCTCATCACCAGGACCATTGAGAATGATCTCAAGAAGGGCTTGGAGGCAACCGAGAGAAGCTCAGCTCCCGCTTTCTTTTCATCCTTTCCTTTCTTTTTTAAAAAGAGACCTCTCTGGAGGCTGTTTGGAGTACCAGTGGAGCTTTCCTGGCGAAGCTTTGTGATGGGAGCTTCACAGCATGGGGTGACAAAGATCGTGGTGCAGACATTTCTGCGGTTCAAGACCATTTGGAATTGTTGGGAGTCGAGGCGAGGGTGGGAGAGCCCGGTAGTGCAATTTTGCGATGTGTTGTTTTTGAAACAGAATTCCTTATCACTCTTTTTCTCCTCATTCATGATAACTTAGGCGGTTTGGAGCACAAGTGCTGCCTTTCTGGCAAAGCTTTGCGATGGGAGCTTCATTGCCTGGGGAGATCCGGCCTGGGGTGCAGACATCTCCGAAGTCAAGGCGAAATTGGATTCAATTGGAGTAGAAGAGGCAAGACTGTTTTTGAGAATTCTGTGAATGTGTTTGATTCTATTTTTCCACAAGCTTCCTGCTTCAAGCTTTTGAGAACACATTTCGGGCGGGGCCGGATTTCTGGCTCCCTTCTCTCACTCAGCCTCGTTTGTGTCAAAGCAAGTGCTTTTGATTTCACATCATTCCTTTCCTTTCACTCCAATCATTCCTTTCAAGTTTTAAAGTACCTCTTCAAGCCTCGTTTCCTCACTTGACCCTTCCCCATTTCTCGTTCCATTGCCCTTATCAGTATCGCACCGATCTCTTCTTTCCTCGTTGGCTCGTGCGGACGATGCAATCTTGAGACAGTTCGAGAATCTGCCAAGCCGGTTCGCGTGCGTTCTTCTGCTAAAAGGTACCCGCTCGCACCCACGCAGAGAAAACGGCAAACAGATAAAGGATCAAACTTTACCGTTTTTACCGCGCACGTGTTTAACAAAAAGAGAGGCGACCCCCCCCAGAAAAAGCGGCTCCAACCTAATGGCGATGGACTCCAACCTCATAGCGATGGCCTCCAACTCCACTGCTGTTCCTCATCTCATTTTATCTCAATTCGATGCTGCTCAATCATTTTCGGACCTCATCTTATCTCAATTCACCATACTTCCGTTCTTCCCTAAAGCTTGCCACCGCCACCGCTTTCTCAAATTTCACATCGTGTTCTGCAGGTCTCGAATGATGAAGGAGGCACCCGGTTTTTGTCTTCTGGAAGTGTTCTTGTTCTCTCTTCCAGTTTCTTGGATGTGCTTTATACAGATGCTTTCATTTTGGTGTTCTGTTTCAGGTTCATGGAATGAAGACCTGCTCCAGAAAGAGTTTCTGGAGTGGCAGCGCACCGGTTTGACCCCGCTACCAGTGGTGCGTATGTGCTTTGTGGGTCGTGGCCGTGCAGGGAAGACAACGACCTTAAGGCTGGAGTGCTGTGTTAGAAAACATTATATGCACAAGCGGTAGGGAAGGTTCTGATGCAGACCTCATCGGAGAAAAGCACCTGGGGTTCAGTTGTCTTTAGCAACTTATATAAATATAAAACCCTTGAAAGAGTTTTGCTGGCTCTTTCGGCCGGAGGCGTTTGAAAGGTGAAGAGCTTAAAGAAGATGAGCGCTCAACGCATGGAGTAGAAGTTTGGGCAGGTCAAATGAGAGAAGATCTGGTCACTGGGGAACAAGGCTGGAAGAAACTTGATGATGGCGGCATGTTTGAACGCAGCGCCAAGAGGGGACTACAAGAACAGCTGGCCAAGAGACATATGAAGGAGGTGGAGGGATGCAAAAGTGATCCAAACCATTCGTGAAAACATCCACAAAACATCCACTCCGACCTGCCAAATATTTTACTTCTTGAGCTCACCTTCGTCACAGTTTAGTTTTAAAAGGACCACTTTCCCTTAAGGACGTGAATGCTGAAGCTCCTTGCGAACCGAGTGCAGAACCGCAAGATTCGCAGGAGCTACAAGCTGTACCAACACCAGCACATCGGCAACGCTCTAGAAGATTTAGCAAGGAAGCTGTCAAGGATCATCGTGATCATCGTGTTGCTTCGAAAGCAGCTACTCCAGCGCCCAATAAATCTCCAGCATTGACCCGAATTCACTCAAGAAGTGAAACGAAGGCGAAAGTTGAGACCTTGGGACCAGCACCCATGGGTAGAGATATGGTGGTTGACTTGGGTACAGCCAGCGGAATTGAGTTGAGACTGCAATCTTGGGATTTCCCAGGCCAACAGGAGTATGCTCTGCTGAACTTGTTGTACTTCAACGAGCGAGGCATTTACCTGGTCTTCTGTGACATGAGTGGAGACATTGAAGAAGAATGGTCGCACCTTTCATTCTGGTTGTGGGCAATAGCGCAGTATGCCAAAGCAACCAGTCCGAGAAAGGACGCCGCAGACACAAGACCGAAAGCGCCGAACCCGCCTATACTTCTGGTTGGAACGAAAATGGGGAATCAGAAGATCAAGGAGTCAGAGTTGCAGAAGAGGGTCGAAGGCCTTTTGCAGCGTGTGCCGCAACTGAAGCAACAATTGCAACCGGGCCCAAGACTGTCTGATGAATCCAGATGTTCCTGGCTGTTTCCCGTGGAAAACAAACCCACAAAGGAGAATGTTGAACATTGGATTGCACCTCTCCGAGAACGCATTCAGAAGATTGCTTTGCAGCTGGTGACGCCCAGAGATGTGTGGAGCGACGAAGCGTACGTTCCGGACTTTGTTGGACTTCAAGCCACACGTTATCCTACACCATGGCTTCGTGCTCATGATCTTTTGGCTGAGCTAGGTGAAGGATTCAGGCAGGAAATAGCAAGGGTTAGCAAAGCTTTCTTGAACACAACATGCTCTTGAGTTACTTATAGTGATGGCCTCCAACCTACTAGCGATGGCATGTTTAAGCAAACTGAAGTCTGGAGCTGTTTTTGAAGATATTTTGGCTTACGTAGATCATTGCTGCATCCCGAGGGCTACAGTGTCGAACTTACCAGACGGTTTGATCGACGGAAAGACCAAGTTGGTACATGATCTTCGAGTCAACACAAAAAATGACATCCCATTGATCGTACCTGCCGGCGCCGTGCTGCACACCGCCAAAGACTTCCAGGAACCACGTTTCCGGGGCAGATCGCGAAAAAGCAAGGCAGATCTTCTCGAGACAGATGTGCTGGTGAGTTGTGACTTCTTGCCCTTGTCGTCCATTCAAAAGCTTCTTGGGGGAATGCAACCAGCTGGCATTTCAGGAAGATCTGTAGCGGATTTGCTTCGTCTTCTGAGTAGCCTTGGAATCTTGCTGTGGTTTGATGAGGAGCACTTGCGGAATTTGGTGATGTTGAATCCTCGACGACTTGCAGTTGCCCTGGCAGATTTGATGACTCTTTGCTTTGGTGAAGATAATTTTGCACATGGAGACGAATACAATGCAGCGTTACGGGAGAAGAAAGGACAAGTAAGTCCAGCGGATCTCTTGTGGTTTCAAACCACTGGAGTCGCCACACGAGAGCTCATTCGATGTATTTGGTCAGACTTTGATGAAGCCGAACAAGACTTGATGTTGGAAATCCTTTTGCGGCGTGGCTTGCTGGTGAGGCGGGCTGTAGAGGACGAGTTTATTGTACCTTCTTGCTTACCAATGGCTCATTTGGCAGAACCCCTACCAGACAAGAAGGATGCAGTGCTCTATGTGGACCTTGGTGGTGTCTTGTCGCCCAATCTGTTCCCAATGCTGGCCGAACGCATCTATGCATCACCAGGGAAGTCTGTGGTAGTGAAGCCCGGTCCACCGCAACTCTTTCGTAACAGGTTGGAAAGCTCCGCAGGAGGCAACACAATCACTTTGTCCCTCTTTCCCGCCATTTGCCAGCAAGGGAATTGGCTCGTGAGGATTCATGTTCAAGCCAAAGAAAAGGCAGATGTGGAAGCAAATCCCAACACGAAGGCAAAAGCCATAGAGAAGCTACTACTCGATGTGATGGGTATTGCAGGCAGCCGCTCTGGTGCGCTGGACATTCGCAGAAGACTGCGCTTGGATGTTGGAAAGGAAGACCTAGAATCATTCTGCATAAGAACTCCTTGCCTTTCTGCAGACTGTAAGATTTCTTGCGTTCACTGCAAGTTGTGGAACCTGCTGCAGGAGCGCTATCACGTTGACATGAATCCTGAGCTTCAAGACGTTGTCAAGCAAGTTGCTTTGGAACCTGATGTGCGACCTACCGGTAGCTTCAAGTTCAAAAGTGTGAGATTCCCAGGCGATGTCGATCTCTATGAATATCTCATTTTCGAAGCAAGAGATCCGCAGGAAGCACTCTCCTTGCTGTGTGAGACCTTGAAGAGTCGGGCCAAGTCCTTGGAGTTGTGGAAAAACATTTTCTTCAGCGGGCTCAAAGCGGGAAAGGATCACACAGGCCAATACTTGGTTTGGAACCTTGATGAACTACAAGCGGGAAGGAAGGAGTTGACAGATTCCAAATCACAATCTATGGGTCACAAGACACTTCAAGAAGCCCTGGAAGAAGGACACATCACAGGAACTGCAAAGATGGATGTTTATGCGCGGATCCCACTCTTCAATGAGCAGAATCGGCGCTTCTATCAGATCACGAATGTCTTGCGCCTGGGATACTTGCCGAGATCTGATGGTTTGCCGAACGGGAAGGAATCCATTCCTGGGAAGCGGTTGTTTTCTATACAGCCCATCACCAGAGAGGACGACCACTTACGAGCAGTTGAGCATGATTTGCAAAACTATTCAGGGCCTCATCCGAAGATGATGAAATATCTCAAGCGACTTTGGGAAAGGTCTGCGTTCTTGGCACAAAGAGGCTTTGATTTGGATTGGCATGTGAACATATTGGAAGCAATTCAGCCAGTCTTTCAGCATTGGGTTGCCAGGCTTGGCGCTATGGCTGATCATGTTGAGACGCTTTGGTACATGTTACGTGACAACAATCCGAAGGCTCAGCAGAAGGCATCGGAGGACATCCAATCTCTTCGTGCCTTGGAAAAGAGGGAAAAAGGAACCAAATAAACATCATTTTCCCGAATGCGTAGCGAATGGTTCTCGTTTAACTCTTGGGGGTCTGGGGGTGGAGCCTTGTTCGTGACCCCTTGTTTCTACGTCCGCAACCGTCCGCAACCGTTCGCAACCGTTCGCAACCGTCCGCAACCGTCCGCAACCGTCCGCAACCGTCCGCAAGTGTTCGCAACCGTTCGCGGTAGAGCGCTAAGGCGCTGCCATTGGGGGAAGCTTTTGCAAGTGACTATTCATGGATGTGTCACGTGTCAGTTTGCGCCGCTATTCCATTGTGATTTGCATGAAAAAGACATGTCGCGCAAGCAACGTGATGCGTTTCGCTGCACAGGCGCAGCGTTTGGTGAGATCTGCAGATTGCTGCAGTTCCACTGGGATTAGCGTTTGGAGAGTCGTGTCTTTGGGCTGTTGGATGTGGCCGTGCCATTGGGATTTGCGTTTCAGGGTGTGGCATCAAAGCTCTGTTTTCGTGACAAGTCTCAGCTGAAATGCCGATTTTGGTGGATGGGAGTGTGCTCAGAACGGGTCGAAATCATTCCAAACGTGTGGTGTGGTGCAAATTTTGTTGAAGCTCACATGAGATGACATTGTTACTTTTCGTGGCAGGCGCAGGACTTTGCGCGGGTTTTGAGGTGTGGAAGTGGGATTTTCGTGGCAGGCGCAGGGAATGGTGAGGTTGCGATGTGTGACGGAGGTGACATTTCATGGCAGGCGCAGTACTTTGTGCGAAAGATTCGTGGGAGGCGCAGGGAATCGGGAGGTTGTGAGTTGTGGTAGAGGTGAATGTCGCTGTCACATTGGGATTGGCGTGTGAGCGGGTGTCGTATGGAGGGGCTGGAATCGCGAGACTGCTTGGCAGGGCTGCGTGATGTGTGTGCTCCGATGGGTGTTTCCGCTGGACTTTTGGAGGAAGTCTCGTGCGAAACGTTCGTTTTGCAGACTTTGACATGTGAGTTTTTGAGGAAGTCTCGTACGAACCGCTCGTTTTGGGGACTTGACATGTGACTTTTGGAGGAAGTCTCGTGCGAAACGCTCGTTTTGGAGACTTGACGTGTGACTTTTGGAGGAAGTCTCGTACGAAACGCTCGTTTTTGAGACTTGACGCGTGACTTTTGGAGGAAGTCTCGTACGAAACGCTCGTCTTGCAGGCTCGCAGCGTGACTTTTGGAGGAAGTCTTGTGCGAAGAGTGTGCCCTACAGGAGTGTCCCACAAGAGTGTCCTACAAGAGTGTCCCACAAGAGTGTCCTGCAAGAGTATCCCACAAGAGTTTCCCACAAGAGTTTCCCACAAGAGTGTCCCACCAGAGTCTCCTACAAAAGTGTCCCACAAGAGTGTCCCACAAGAGTGTCCCCTATGAGTGTCCCACAAGAGTGTCCCGCGTGGCCCGCAAGAGTGTCCTACAAGAGTGTCCCACAAGAGTGTCCCGTATAAGTGTCCCACAAGAGTGTCCCACAAGTGTGTCCCACAAGAGTGTCCGACAAGAGTGTCCCATAAGAGTGACCCACAAGAGCGTCCTACAAGAGTGTGCAACAAGAGTGTCCCGTAAGAGTGTCCCACAAGAGAGTCCTACAAGAGTGTCCCACAAGAGTGTCCTATAAGAGTGTCCCGCAACCATGTCCCACAAGAGTGTCTCACAAGAGTTAAGAGTGTCCCACAAGAGTGTCCTATAAGAGTGTCCCACAAGAGTGTCCCACAAGAGTGCCCCACAAGAGTGTCCCACAAGAGTGTCCCACAAGAGTGTCCCACAAGAGTGTCCTACAAGAGTATCCCACAAATGTTTCCTACAAGAGTGTCCTATAAGAGTGTCCCACAAGAGTGTCCCACAAGAGTGTCCTACAAGAGTGTCCCACAAGAGTGTCCCGCAAGAGTGTCCCAAATGAGTGTCCCACAGGAGTGTCCCACAAGAGTGTCCCGCAACAGTGTCCCGCAAGAGTGTCTCACAAGAGTGTCCCACAAGAGTGTCCCACAAGAGTGTCCCACAAGAGTGTCCCGCAAGAGTGTCCCAAATGAGTGTCCCACAGGAGTGCCCCACAAGAGTGTCCCGCAACAGTGTCCCGCAAGAGTGTGTCACAAGAGTGCCCCTTAAGAGTGTCCCACAAGAGTGTCCCGCAACAGTGTCCCACAAG